ATGGAGCATTGGTTTGTACTGGGGCATGTTGCTGTAGAAGCATCTATAAAAACTAAATACCATCACAGTTATGCAATGAGAATTTCAGCATCACTTTAACACACAACACTGCTTAAGAAACACTGTTGTTGTTGTGGATTAGGAAGTGGTGGGAAAAAGATTCAATGCTTGATTCACACTGCAAAGAACAACCTCCATTAAATGGGAAACTGTGGTTTCCAATCGGAAGGGAACTGTGTTTTGGAAAGTCAGGATGGCCACCTAGCAGACATTATTTTAAAGATAAAACTGAGGCACTACCTTAAACTATATTCCATTTGGCATCTTTCTGTGGCAACAAAATCTGTCTATGATAGAGCACACGAGTGTAAAGACTTTCTAAAAACCATACTATACCCCATATATGCTTATGCAAATTAATTAATATCAAAAATTAAATATTTCAAGTATTTTTCAATTGTTTCAAGTTTACTTGAAAATACAGCATTCAAATGGAAGAATATAACTACAGATCTTAATTTATAATTAGAATCCAGCATAGTTTGAACATAGTTCTAATAAAATATCAGAAAAAAATTACAAATTTAAAACCTATAAAATACATAATTCTAGATAAATTTTACAAAATAATATTTTGTTATATATGCAAATCAGCTATTTTTATAGAAATTAACAGGTTTTGCAATTTTTATTTCTAGAGTTTCTTGCATGAATGAATCTGTGTTAAAACTTAATTCCAGACTGACTGAAACCTCCAATGGATTAGCTAATTTTATTATTTGTGTCTATTATTGATATCAGCATTATTTCATATTCTGTATTTTAATGTCTTAGTTGTTATTACCGTGTAAAAGACTTCCTGTTGTTTGGCACTAATTATTTAAGGTACTGTATAAACCTACTGCAGCCACACTGTGGGTCTTTTAGACCCTTATTACAACTCGCATACACTTTTACAATTTGTTTTTATAAACTTAGTAGTTAATACATGCAAAAATATACATGTAGAAGTAATAATACATAATGTAATGTACACAGGGATTGTAATTCACAATTTAACCTCGAATGAACAACTTAAGACTTAGGATACATTCATAAAATCAAAAGGAGTTAATTGCCTAGGTTCCTAGTTAATCAAAAAGTACCAGTGAAGTAAAGTAACAATGAAAACTATATATAAAATAAATAGGCATTCTAATACAGGATACAGCTTTCTTTTGTATTTCTGACAAGAATTATATGGCTCATGTCTTAACAAGATTTGGCCAACTATGGTATTAGTATACTTTTAACCCTGCCATTTACTAAAGTGTTGGAGTGAAGAGACAAGTACGTAACATAGAATTTGTAATTTAATTTTCTAGGTAAACTGAGTAAGCTGTATGCTAGTTATATTTGCATAATTAGCTAATGGAATTTACAAAAATCTTTTATCCATATTTTTGGGATAAAAGATAGTTAGGAATAAAAACTTTTTAGTTTATTTAATAAAAATTTGAATTTTGAGGGCAAATAAATACTTTGCATATACAACTATTATTAATTCTAATTCTTGCATAATACCTTCTTAGAATGACGAATGAATTTTCAATATTGATTTTAGAAAAATTAATATTGAAAATACCAATATAACTTAGTTTTAGTATTTCCAAATGATCTTCTAGATCATTAATTAAGATATATTAAGGCTTATTTAATAATTTGATATAAAGCAGGGTAGAGGTAGAATGCTATGACACCATCTCATGATAAAATTAATTAGAAATAAATTATTTAGGAAAATCTGAATATTGTGATAATGATATAACTAAAAACAAAAAATATGTAGACATTTTATGTGTTAAATTTTTTTTATGATTTACATGAAATTATAGCAAATTAAATAAAAGTTTAAAATAACTTTTCATAAATAAGTATATATATAAAAGTTACATAAGCCGAAACAATATATAACATTTGTTCTTCTGTATGAAAATTTTCCATTCAAAGTAATAACAGCTCACTGCACACTGCATGAAATTCAAATTTGATTAATGATGCATGATGTAAAGTTTTATATTTTTAATGTAAAATAATCTTTTGTTTTAAAACACTTTTAATCAACAAATTTAAAACAAACTAAACAGTAATGTTATTTTGAAATAAACTGTTTTAATACTGACCATTAATGCTCCATTTAATGCTCAGTAATAAATTTATGAGTCATTTAATAATGGTTCATTTTTTAGATTTAAATTGTTCATAAATTTAAGTTCTGAAAAATATCCAAATATATAAAAAAATATCACAATGTTCTAGAAGGAAAATACTGTATTAAATACATATAAGCTTGAAATTATATGTTTAAATTACAATTTGAAAGGGGTGCAGGTTATGCAATGACAAGCTATATGTCAATTTTAAATTGCAATTATGAACTATGGAGCATAGGCTGTTCCATAAATGTAGGGTAGTTATGCAAATGGTATTTTTGTTCTAGCATTTTTTAGCAGATATATGCCATAGGGATATCAATGACTAAACTATTTTTTATCATATGCAAAACTGAGGTTAAGGAATTGGATTACCATAGTTGAGATGGAGAACACCGCAGTGATTTGAGCAGTGTATGATAAACAATAAAAGTTTGAACCGAAATTGAATCCACAACGCCATGAAATATAGCACAACCATTCAATCAATTTAGAAATTGAACTCCATACTTTATGATTTTTATTAAATACTTATAGTTTTAACAAAACATCCTATCACAGAAAATCACAAAAATGTATAATTACAAAATCATAATATGGTTATTATTTTTTAATAATGCTAAATTAATATTGTTTTAGCATAAAAATAATGTGTAAAATTTTAAGGTAGAAGTATTTCCTATATACTTCAGCAAATCTTTTCATTAAATATACTAGAATTTATTTTAGAAAATTATAATTATAATGTAAGAATGCTGTCTCAACAATTAACAATACAGATAAAAAAACATGCAAGTATTATATATAAAATGCAATCCTGTCACAAATGAGTAACTTATAATACAGGAAATTTTCTGTACGTGTGAAAATATCACACAAATATTGAGACCTGTCAGCAAATTATCATTAATATCAGAACAACGTTGAGAAATTGGCATGTTATTTTCAAACTTAAAATATTTTGTAAAATACTTAAATTGAATTTGATTATTTAATAATAATGTTTGAAATATGCTTCATATATTTTAATCTATATTTATTTATTGTACACATGACCAATACATACATTTAATATTACTTATTTCTGCTTATTATACTTGTTAAGTAAGTTTATCACATGTAAATCCAATGCAATTATTTTTATTGGAATGAAAATTTCAAGTACTTTTGGGCTATATTACATCAGCAACTAACAAGATAAATAAAGATTAATAAAAAGATACCAGATTTTTCATCCTAATACAGGATGCTGCTGATTAATAGTAATCTGACATCTGCTCTTACTTTTCTTGTTGACATATGATAATGTACGGACTGAAAATGCGCAAGATTTCTAAAAATTTTCACCAGAATAATTGATTTTTTGCATATTGAGTATAAACAAGCTCAAATGAAAACTTTTATAATATTACAGAGATTTATTAAGATATAGAACAAATAATTATAGTTTTTGTTTATTACTTATCAGACAGATAATTGAGCAATTTTTTAATCAATCATACATCTACAGTCATAAAATATACTTTAATTTATAAATTAAGAATCAGAAAATTATTCATTTTTAAATAAATAGTTTCTTTAAAAATACTTGTTACAGATGTTATAAAAATTGTTGTGTTAGAACAAATTCTAATGAAATCAAGAAAATTGTTGCACAAGATCTTTCAATCCATTATGCAATTCTTCTAGAAAGGAATATAAATGCGTAACCTGTCATACAGTGTATTTAAATGTTTACTTCTAAACAGTTTTTACCAAGTGCTTACGGATCACATAAATGATATTTTTAATTAAATATTGATTTAATAGTGTTAATAATAGTTATTGAAGCTCTTTAATCAGTTGAAGGATGCCTATTTGCTACTTTTGGTATTCGGGCTTTGGATAAACATAAGTTTATCCAAAGCCGAAATACCAAAAGTAGCAAATGAGCACGAAATTTTAATTTTATTATTCTACGCTAACAGTAAGGAATCAAGCAAAATAAGTTAGACGAAGCATTCGCGTAGGTTTTTGTTTTAGCTCTTTACGCTCTACGGGCACCGAGCGAACCCTTCTTTCGGCAAACCCACCAAGGTTTTGGCCGGGCCCGCGACGGAACGGCGAGAGCGGGGTTCCGGACCCCCCAGTCTTTCGACCCTTCCATACCGGATCCGGGTTCCCGGAGCGGCGGGACGTCACACAATCTCAAAGTTACGAAACGTCAACAGTTTGCCGCATTAACACGCAACAATTCAAAGAAACAAAACAACTGTTTTAAAATAAATTTCGTAGAATAATACGATTTACATTATTTAATTTTTTAACTTTTTATCAATTTTTATTTTTAGATTATCGTTATCAGATTCGTCGCCGAGCGCGATAGAAATTAAATGTAAATTAAACACGCGACGGGAAATCATTCTTTTAAAATAAATATTTAAAAAAAGAACGGCAATGCGCGTTATCGGCCATAAAAATGAAGTAATTAAATCTTCCACCAATCACATCGATTTCGAAAACTGCGTCACTAGCTTAAACACAATTTAAATAAATTACAATTAAGAAAATAAAGGCGGTAAATGGTTTTTAAACGTCAAAAAGTAATTAAATCGGAAGAAAAAATCGATGGGAGAAGTGGAAAATCTTCCGTTTTCTCGCCTAATTTATACTTAACGCGGTTTATTTTTGTTATATAAGCCGCAACCTGGTAAATATTTTGGTAAAGGTGTTGTTTAGGTGTTAACCTTTGAATGACGTTTAATACGAGTGACATGCCTTCCCCGCGCAAATTTACGTGGATTTCGTCAGAATAAATTAAATATTTACCTTCTCCGAATAATCTTCTACTAATTGTTTCATTCGCGAATGCGGTTCTGTAAAGACGTCCACTTCTTCTGGGTAATACGGAGCCATTTTTAAAATCAAAAATTGACAAAAAATAACAAATAAAAAGACGTTGCCAGTATTTATGCCGGATGACGTTCGAGAAATATTGCCAATTTTTAAATGTCGATTTATCGTTCGGATGGTTTTGTATTAATGTTTTTCGTGTTAAATTTATTATTAATTCGTCGTGATTAATATTATAAATAAATTCTATAATAATTGTCATTATTAAAAGTTAATACTGTATTACGTAATTTGTAGGCGCTGACATAGATATATTACGTGTTAATTTTGAAATTAACTTTTACTTTTTCCTTTAAATTAAAATTAATTATTTGTATTTTTGATATTTAATATTATATAATTGGTATTTGTATTTTTAATATGTTCATAATTAACAATAAACGTCCTTGCCAAAAAATGTTCTTATTGAAGCCATTGCAACTTGACAAGATGGATGACTCGTTGCAGTGATTCTAAGCAGGAAAACGCGTTACTGTACTCATTAGCCTACAAGTTACGTTCGTTAGACATTGCCATACACGGAAGAATTTCGAAAAATCATACACATGCCGTTAATTTAATGTAGTAAATTATTTTTAAACGGTCGCGAGACATTTTTCGGATTTTTCTTAATCGTTAGAGCAGTTTCTAACTGTTCGTGTCTAATTGTTAAGCGCCATTCGTTCACATAAAAACGTGTTCATCACTCTGTTTTGAAACCGTTTCCTTTTCTCTCCTAAATAACGTCTTTGGGATGGCTTCCGTCTCTATCTTGGTCCACGTTTTCGGAATCGCTCCACGAAGCCGTACACGAAGTCCTCGGAACTTCTTCCTCGACAGCTCTAGACGTTGCCCCCCGTGGGTATTTGTTGGAAATGACGGGAATCATTTATCATACTAAAAAAGAGGCTGTCCAACATTTCCAATGGTTTTTTAAACGCTTCGTCCACCGTCGCCCTGTCCTCTCCCACGTGATCTTCGATCCTTACGAGTGTGCCACAGGAATAATTATTGCCAAAATTTATTCACTAAATTAAAAGGAATTCGTCATTATTGACCAATTTCAATTGGAATGGCTGCTGCCGGTAGTCAGTGTATCTAAAAACATAAATCAGATGATCGGCATTCTATCTTTCGGAATATATCTGTGATATTTTCGGAGATGTGGGCCTAATTCTCTCCTATTTCCACCTAGCACAATCCATTACGAACGATTAAGTAATGGAGAAAAATAACCAAACATTCTACTTTGCAGGCCAACTGATCTTTAATTTTGTCAAAATAAGGTTTGAATTGCACCATCTTATTCTAACAATAACCACAGTCTTATATGTTTTTTCTTTGTATTTATTTATTTGTAATATTTGGCACACAATTAAATTCGTAACCACAATTTCCTTCGAAAAAAGGTATTTCAAATTGTTCTGAAATAATTTTAGTAAAGATTTAAGGCATCCAGTGCCATGTTTATGGTGATATACGAACAAACATGTAAAGCGATACAGGTGTTTCTCTTAATGCTTAATGTTATAAATCAGGATTACGCTTCAAAATTACAGTGTTAATTATATAATAAGCATAACAAAGTTGCCAAATCAGAATAAATCATTTTTCAACCATTCATAGGAGAGTAAGGAGTAAGGTGTATCGAATACCTACCCGAGGACTGCAATTTTCTACCATTATTTCTGCCCAGTGAACAGTTAGCTATTTACTGAAACAGAATAATAATAGAATATCACTTTCTGAGAACTAAAAAAAAATCTCATATTTGTCCACACAGTTTTTCTTTTTTTATAAGTTCTGCATTTTCTCGAGGGTTTCTACTATTTTAAATATGGGCGACGAAAAGAGAAAAGCAGCTCTTAATTTAACTGGGAGAAATCTTCACTTAAAGCGACTGAAAATTGAATATTTCAACTCTAGAGGAAAAGGAATGGAGTAAGCAACAGAACGCATAGGCGATCTTCTTCTCTGGAGGATTTGTTTCTCATAGGTACCAGTTTCTTGTATCTTTGGAGAAGAAACGAGAAACTCGTACCTATTTAGGTGTTACTAATATGAAGAAAACCCACAAACTCTACCATTGGTGCTGCCCGAAACCAGCGACCAACTACCAGTATTCTGTGATTTTATCCACTCTGCCACCGGTGGGATCAGAGATAAAGAAAGTAGATATTAAAGAAGTAGCCTACATTATTTTGAAAAAACATGTTTTTTACTTGAATACATTTAATGTATTCAAGTAAAGAAGTTCCAACTATCTTTTGTTTTGAAAAAAGTGTACGGAGTCTTGTCAGACTCTATACATTTTTGTTAACCTTCTTTCACCTGTGGGCGCTAAGAGTGCCTTTTTTAGCGAGCCAATTATATGTTCGGAAAGACTCACAATGGTAATGCTCGGCGGTTAATTAAATTATTGTATTATTTAGTAAAAACAGTTAAATTAATTTTAAAACTATACGACAATTCCATTAATAACATGAAAAATACTGAAGAACTTTAAAATAAAGTTATAGAATGATAAGTCTTGACGTTAAAAACGTGTACCCATCTATTACAAAGCACTTCAACAATAAACTACTTCGTAATAGGGGTACATGTTTTATATACCATAAATACAGTAATCTAAATTGTGATTATTGTGTTTTGGATTTGGTTATCTCTGTATTATTGAGACAGATAATGTTTTAATTACTATGAGAAGTTCATTTTTTTATAATAGATACGTTGATAATTGTCTACTTGTATATGACTCCAATATAACCGACTCGGATGCGATACTCACAATGCTAAACAATGAATTACTCGACTCCTTGTATAGTTTGAATCCGCTAGAGCATCACAATATTTGTGTATATACTCGTTTTATACATAAAACATATTAATTATATAAGATAAAATTCTTAATTTATGTGTTCCTTTTGATTATTCAGATACAAGCATGGGCATGGAAGGGGCATGGGTGGGCACAGCCCCATTGTTAGAGTTTGATATTAATGTTACGAGAACGTATGATTAAAGGAAGTTTCATATTTTGTGTGTGTTAAGTTATTGTCGATTCTTATGGAAATTTCATTTTAATGAACATCAATTTGAAATAATTCAATTTTGTGTCAGGTTGACCACTACTAGACCCCCCATAACAAAACTCTGGCTACGCCCATGGATATAGTCACAGTACAACTGTCATGGCTGCTCCTCGTTAATAAGTTTCAGCTCGTTGGACATAAACTCTTTGGATATTAAAAAAATTTAAATTATTTTAAAAATAAAGAAAGAAGTGAATTAATTTTTATACAAAAAAAATACATATTTTTGGAAAAATCCTTTAATAAATCGTATACAGTTTTAAATACATTTAACTTCTGATTAGATAATTATAATTTGCGATATAATAAACAATAGCAGAGATAAAACTTGGTATATTAACGCATAGTTTAATCGATCATTTTACAGTTTGAGTTGAGAAATTGCATCCGGTTGGCCAATTTAAAAGCAAAGTAACATCGAAACTCGATTAATTAAAAAGAAATTGTCGTAATTTTGTTTTTTAATAGTACCGTTCCAATTCAGATACATTTTATTTAATTTTAGATCTTCTGTCTTTTAAAAAGGTCCAATTTATTTTAAAAAATGATGATTTCGATCTTATTTTTTGCCTCCTGTTTAGTTTTATTACAAGGATTCAATTGCCAACGAGAAACCATTCAACCTCATTTACGTGTGGCATCTTTCAACGTCCAGACTTTCGGATACAAGAAATACAACAAAAAAGATGCAGCAGACATTATTAAAAAGGTATGATTTTATAATATTTTAACCTTTCTAAATTAATTTTTTGTTGTTAATTTCGATTTTTAAAACGTTTTCTTAGATAATCACACGTTACGATTTCATTTGTTTGCAAGAAATCGTCGTGCAGAAAAAACCGTTCCTAGACAGTTTATTAAAAGACGTTAACTACGTGTAAGCGTAAAATCAGTAAATAAATACACGAACAAGTCTGTAATTACAATTTTCCAAACTTTTTCGATTAGTTATTCGCCAAAGAAACCTTACGTCATGAATGCCAGTCCTCCCGTAGGTACCAACTCAATTACGAAAGAACAATATCTCTACCTTTACAGGTGGGTAACAATTGACATTTTCGGTATGAAATCTTCTCGTTCTTTCTTTAAACTTCTTGCCTTTTTTTTTTCTCAACAGAAAAGATCGACTCGAGTTTTTAGATGCCAGAGTTTATCCGGATCCAAAAAGTCGTTTCATTCGTCCTCCTTACATCGCTTACGTCAATTCGTCCACTACGAGTAAGCCATGGCACACTGCTAACGGGTCGAATTTATAGCTTCGCTAACCAGTATTGTTATTGTATTGTTTTGTAAGGATCTCTGTCGCGGTTCGTCGCAATCTGCGTTCATACCAGGCCTTCCGATGCGGCCAACGAAATAGACGCCCTGTCCGAAGTGTACGACTACGCAAAGCGGCTGTACGACAACGAAGTAAGTGTGACGTTTCTTTTAACAATTGATTATCTGTCTACAAACTTTGTGTTTCGCGCAGAATGTCGTAATTATGGGCGATTTGAACGCCGGTTGTAAGTACATTCGTACCAACGATTGGGCCAATATATCTTTATGGACACGTCCGGAATTCCAGTGGCTGATCAATAGCAGCATCGACACGACTTCCTACAGCTCCAGTTGCGCTTACGACAGGTAAATACGTCAACAAAGTTTACACAAATACTGGACTTTCTGACTGCTAAAGCGTAGATTTCTTCCGCAGAATTATAATAACCGGAAGTGAGATGAAACGAGACACCATCTACTCTTCTGTTAGACCCTTCTATTACCAAACGGAATATAACATAACGGAGAAATTGGTTGGTGAGGATTTTTGCAAAATGTTCAAATCGTGTTTACGTAATGAATTAAAAAATATTAATAATCGTGGCAGGTCAAAGAGATTTCGGACCACGTTCCCGTAGAATTCAGCTTAAGAGGAAAAGGTAAATGCACGTCCGTTCGTAAGACCTTTAATTATAATAGAGTTTAAGATCTTTTTCTTTGTTGTAGTTTCTCGGAGCTTCGTGGAGAATATCCGCGCGGATATTTGCATTCGTGTGTACGATAGAAGACCGAGTGACACTGCAATTTCGGTGTTAAAGAACAGAAACATTTCTGGCTTTGATGTTGAATTTTACGACGATGCGAAAAGGTGTCGACAGAGATTAATTATAACTAAAGAAGCGACTAATTTTCGAGATTTAATATCGTCGCTTGAGGATTTAAACGTANAGTTATAATTAATCTCTGTCGACACCTTTTCGCATCGTCGTAAAATTCAACATGAAAGCCCGAAATGTTTCTGTTCTTTAACACCGAAATTGCAGTGTCACTCGGTCTTCTATCGTACACACGAATGCAAATATCCGCGTGGATGTTTTCCACGAAGCAACTAAAGAAGCGACTAATTTTCGAGATTTAATATCGTCGCTTGAGGATTTAAACGTAAAAATGAGCAATGTTTTGAGTTCCGAAACCGTAGAAACCATTAGTTTCAAGTCGGAACATGGTTCGCTTTTCGATTGTGGCAGCTGCAACACGGTTACACACCCAAAATATAAACTAACTATCGACTGTTATTCGGTTACTGACATTTGTACTGTTTATTTATGTAGACAAACTTTTTTAAATTAATTTTTAGTACTATTACTATATTGTTATTATTGCCAATTTTGCGGAACCTCCCACAAGGATTGGCATTTAATCGATATTTTGATCTTAAGGTATCGTCTACTGTTCTGGGCATGTCATTAGCGGTTCGAATAAAGGATTTTGGTATACCTTTTAAAATTTCTTAAAATTATATGAGGGATTCGAGTGGTACAAGAATAGACTATGTCAATGTTAAAATTTAACATTCGATGAAAGTATGTCTTATACTTTTTAGGCTGTTACAGTAAACTCTTCAATACCGATACCGGTATCGATACTTTTGTGGTATCGGGACATCCCTACTTTATAAGATCTGATTTGGGAGAGTTTACTGTATGTATTAACACTGTATAACTTTGAAGCTTAATAATTTCTGTTCTTTTTGTCAAAATTTTCTGAAATTTTGCAGGGAGTTTGTGTATTAATTGAACTGATGCTAGTAAATTTTGGTGGTTAAAAGTCGGAGGGGTGAAGAGATAGATGGATCACGTGTCGTATCTCGAATGGGTTAAGACTTATGATTTTACTCGTTATTAGCGTTTAGAAATCCTTTAATAAAATACGTCTCCATCCTCAAAATTAAGGATTTTACCATTTTATAATATTTAGTAATATACTAAGTTATTNGCATTTTGATAATAGTTAAAAATACAGAAAATTTTCATAAAATATCATAACACATAACACCACACACAATTTTATTATATTGTAATTAAAAATATGACGGTTATTTTCAAAATAAAATCTTATAATAGCCGGAAAAGTTACGCAACTCGTTGTTGTATTTTTTAAACTAAATAAATATATTATATATATATATATAATATTTACTTACATATTAGCAGGAAAAAATATTTGATAAGATTTAAATTCTGGAAAGATATAATCAATATCGCGTTTTTCAAAAAATGATTATTATTATGTAATTTACTTTGTATTATCATGTACTAAGCTATTACATTTATTTGTTAAATTGTATAACTTCTGTTTTGTGTAACCCTCTTGTAACGAACTAAAATTCAAACAATAAAGAATTGATTGATATTTATTTGCATATATTACTAGAATTTTTAGTCTTTTACTTAAGTATATACGTTACAAAGACCGCTGTAATACATTATAACTGCGATATTCCACGGAGTACTCGAAGTATTAATTTGATAGAATACGGCAATGGAACACGTGGGCAATCTGCCAAGGGATGCCACTCTAGAAAGCATTCTATAGAAATCCGTCCAGTATTTACGTGTGATTTTCAGATACGCTAACCCGCAGCTTCAGCTTATTACTCAGTTTTGAATAAACAATACACCCATCCCTCGATTTACACGGTAGATAAGTTTCCGAGGAAAACGTGTAAATTGAAATTGTTAGTTTTTGAATGTAAAACCGTGTAAATCGAAAAGTATCTTCACTTAGTTCTTTATCAGCCGCTAGTTCTGCAAAATCTTTTTCAGTAAAATCGTCGAAACCTTCACCAATCAATGAATGCGCCAATTGTACTATCTGAGAATATTCATCTTTTAATGGTGAAATAGAAGCTTTATCTTTAACTACCGGTACATTTGGCCACAAACACAGAGCCTTAAAAGTCTAATGGTTGTAAGAATGTCGTATTCTTTGGTAAAAATATAACTTGGACATTCTCATGCTGCAGATATCGCGGATGACCCGGTGCATTGTCAATTAACAAAAGCACTTTAAAAGGTAGTCCTTTTTCATTTAAATATATTTTGGCATCTGGGATCTGAGATCTGATTTTGGCATCTGGGATCTTTGGCATCTGTTCATGAAACCATTCATTAAACATCGCGGCAGTAACCCACGCTTTCTTATTGACCCTTCAATAAACAGGAAGATGGTTGATATTTATTTCTTTAAATACGCGTGGTATTTTTGATTTGTTAATAACCAATGGTTTCATGATGTAATCTCCCGAAGCGTTGCTACAGAAAAGAATTGTTATACCATCTTTTGCTGCTTTATGACCGCTAGCTGATTTATCAATTTTAGACACATAGGTCCTCTCTGGCATTTTTTTTCCAAAATAACCCTGACTCATCGGCATTGAAAACTTGATCAGGAGTACATGAATTGTTGGCAACAATTTCAGCAAATTTTCTTGGATATTCTTGCGCTGTATCTACATCACCAGATGCCAGTTCCCTTTTTTATTTTAAACTATGTAAAGAGTGTCTTCTTCCATGTAAAACCAGGGATAGGTGTACTGTAACTGGTGTTTTCTGGATAATCCATGTAAAGTATTTATATTTATTAGTAGAATTAACGGGTGTATACAAGAACTGGATTAACCATTACGTGTAGGTTTCAAAGGTCAAGAGGATTCTTATACTGTAGTAATAACAACAGGAGTATTAACTAAAAGATTTTGAAATACGAGAGTAAATGTTATGAAGGTATCTACGAATGGAAAACACATTGGATACAATTAGGAAGTGTTTGAGGTTTTTCATAATGAAATCTATTTAAATTTTCACCATTAAAAAGTATTTTCAGTATGGAATTTTAAACTCTAATTTTAATAAGCCAATAATTTCTCATTATCCGGGTCTGGACCGATCTCGTTTGATCCGGAAAAACGAAGTTTCACCGCATTTTTAACGTTATCGCACGGTATTAATTAAAAAACGTTTGTCTACATAAATAAACAGTACAAATGTCAGTAACCGAATAACAGTCGATAGTTAGTATATATTTTGGGTGTGTAACCGTGTTGCAGCTGTCACAATCGAAAAGCGAACCATGTTCCGACTTGAAACTAATGGTTTCTACGGTTTCGGAACTCAAAACATTGCTCATTTTTACGTTTAAATCCTCAAGCGACGATATTAAATCTCGAAAATTAGTCGCTTCTTTAGTTATAATTAATCTCTGTCGACACCTTTTCGCATCGTCGTAAAATTCAACATGAAAGCCCGAAATGTTTCTGTTCTTTAACACCGAAATTGCAGTGTCACTCGGTCTTCTATCGTACACACGAATGCAAATATCCGCGTGGATGTTTTCCACGAAGCTCCGAGAAACTACAACAAAGAAAAAGATCTTAAACTCTATTATAATTAAAGGTCTTACGAACGGACGTGCATTTACCTTTTCCTCTTAAGCTGAATTCTACGGGAACGTGGTCCGAAATCTCTTTGACCTGCCACGAGTATTAATATTTTTTAATTCATTACGTAAACACGATTTGAACATTTTGCAAAAATCCTCACCAACCAATTTCTCTGTTATGTTATATTCCGTTTGGTAATAGAAGGGTCTAACAGAGGAGTGGATGGTGTCTCGTTTCATCTCGCTTCCGGTTATTATAATTCTGCAGAAGAAATCTACGCTTTAGCAGACAGAAAGTCCAGTGTTTGTGTAAACTTTGTTGACGTATAAATTGTATAACTTCAGTTTTGTGTAACCCTCTTGTAACGAACTAAAATTCAAACAATAAAGAATTGATTGATATTTATTTGCATATATTACTAGAATTTTTAGTCTTTTACTTAAGTATATACGTTACAAAGACCGCTGTAATACATTATAACTGCGATATTCCACGGAGTACTCGAAGTATTAATTTGATAGAATACGGCAATGGAACACGTGGGCAATCTGCCAAGGGATGCCACTCTAGAAAGCATTCTATAGAAATCCGTCCAGTATTTACGTGTGATTTTCAGATACGCTAACCCGCAGCTTCAGCTTATTACTCAGTTTTGAATAAACAATACACCCATCCCTCGATTTACACGGTAGATAAGTTTCCGAGGAAAACGTGTAAATTGAAATTGTTAGTTTTTGAATGTAAAACCGTGTAAATCGAAAAGTATCTTCACTTAGTTCTTTATCAGCCGCTAGTTCTGCAAAATCTTTTTCAGTAAAATCGTCGAAACCTTCACCAATCAATGAATGCGCCAATTGTACTATCTGAGAATATTCATCTTTTAATGGTGAAATAGAAGCTTTATCTTTAACTACCGGTACATTTGGCCACAAACACAGAGCCTTAAAAGTCTAATGGTTGTAAGAATGTCGTATTCTTTGGTAAAAATATAACTTGGACATTCTCATGCTGCAGATATCGCGGATGACCCGGTGCATTGTCAATTAACAAAAGCACTTTAAAAGGTAGTCCTTTTTCATTTAAATATATTTTGGCATCTGGGATCTGAGATCTGATTTTGGCATCTGGGATCTTTGGCATCTGTTCATGAAACCATTCATTAAACATCGCGGCAGTAACCCACGCTTTCTTATTGACCCTTCAATAAACAGGAAGATGGTTGATATTTATTTCTTTAAATACGCGTGGTATTTTTGATTTGTTAATAACCAATGGTTTCATGATGTAATCTCCCGAAGCGTTGCTACAGAAAAGAANCACCTGTAAAGGTAGAGATATTGTTCTTTTGTAATTGAGTTGGTACCTACGGGAGGACTGGCATTCATGACGTAAGGTTTCTTTGGCGAATAACTAATCGAAAAAGTTTGGAAAATTGTAATTACAGACTTGTTCGTGTATTTATTTACTGATTTTACGCTTACACGTAGTTAATGTCCTTTAATAAACTGTTCAGGAACTTTTTTTTCTGCACGACGATTTCTTGCAAACAAATGAAATCGTAACGTGTGATTATCTAAGAAAACGTTTTAAAAATCGAAATTAACAACAAAAAATTAATTTAGAAAGGTTAAAATATTATAAAATCTATAAAATCGTACCTTTTTAATAATGTCTGCTGCATCTTTTTTGTTGTATTTCTTGTAACCGAAATTCTGGACGTTGAAAGATGCCACACGTAAATGAGGTTGAATGGTTTCTCGTTGGCAATTGAATCCTTGTAAAAAAACTAAACAGGAGGCAAAAAATAAGATCGAAATCATCATTTTTTAAAATATAATTAAATCTATTTGGATTTTAAATTGATCAATCACTCGCAGTTTCTCAACTGAAATCGCAATGTGATCGACTGAACGACGTTAACCGGGAACGACGTTATCTGAAATATATATATTTTTATATAATAAATTAAAATTATCTAATCAGAAGTTTAATTTATAAGAAAAACACATGTTTAATTTATGAATTTTTCCCAAATTGTATTGTTTATAAGCGATTTTTTTAAAAATAATTTTATTGAATTTTTTTTAAATTTTCTTTTCGACGTATAATTGTTATAGTGTTAATTTTTCCAGAATGCATTGAAAACTTACGTTTAAAAATTTTGTTTTTAATAGTATACAGTATATACATCCCATATACACCTATACATACACACACACACACACACACACACTGTTTATATGTGTATACGTATACAGTATATAACTTATACAAACCATAGAAGATCCCGATTTCGTAACTTATAATGGGGTCTTCTATCACCACAGGTTAAAATTCTGTACTTTTGTTATACTTCTGCATATATACATGTACTAATATATAGGTAAAACATACATTTTCAAGCCCGTATCATTAACTTAGAAACACATTTATCTCTACACTCGGAAACTATGGACGGAGTTACAAGAATATTTAGAAATAATTCATTGTCGTAGTACAGTATTATATTTATCTCCATTATAGAAATCCCTTATGTCAAAACGCATTTATGGATGAATATTCGAAAGATTAAAGAAGTATTGTAACACGTAACTAAAAGTTATTTAAATACATCATAGAAGTCTCTGCGTGTGAACATTTAAAAAAATTTTACGCTAAGATCCCTTTATTCTTTTCAGATTTGAACGTATTTATAGGCTTTATCGCAAGCATTTATCTGATTTTTAACCTTCGTCAGACTCGTAAAACAGGAATACATCGTCTGTAAACTCTGAAAAAAATGTCAAAAGAGAAATAAATAATTTAAATGATTGCAGGGAAAATGTATTAAAGTTTTTAAATATTTCTCACCTTTGGCATGCTTTTTTTAGTAATCGTGAATATTCCAGCAACGGTTATTCCTATAGGAGTTTTTCCTAGTCTTTTCCTATAGGAAATTATCTGCAACAAAAATCGTTATTTCGAAAGTCGATTGCAAATTTGGTTCTATAAAATAGTTCAAGAGACCAACACCATTATCCAGCCACTTATTAGTCAATTAGAAAAAGCATACCTTTAGCTTATCTTCGAGTCCTTCTTCGTAGAAGAAAAGACGCTCCAAGATGGGACGTACCCGGTGCATCTGTAAGAAAATAACACGTGTTCATCTGCTAAAATAACATTATCTAAAAATAAAAAAACGTATGCGATTTTCTTTATACGGTAGAATCTTACAGTTTTCGGTAGTCTTGCAGTAGCCAATGTAAGAATAACAAAGACGAACATGCTGAAGACGAAGATTACGAGAGCTGCACACTTAATTAAGGTGTTACCATCTCCCACCACTCCATTGTAAATGGAAAGAGACGTCAATGCCAATTGGAACAAATAATAAAGAGCAACGACAGAGCTAACCATATTGTCGAAATCGGAAAGAATGTCACAGAATTGAACGTGTCTTTTTATGACGTATCTGAAGTTTGGCCTTATTCTCTTCTTATCGGAAATCTGTTCTTCTAACACTGTGCAGAACAACGATACTTCGTGCTCCAGCGTGATTCCGATATCGAATATAATGATAATTATATAACTTATTACGTGAATGCCGTAAAAGAGTTCACAATTAGTTAAAACGTAATGGAATATAATAATATAGAGGTTGTTTTTGTTCACGACAAACGAGAAAGCAATGGAAATGATAACAATTATAAACGTCATAAAAAGTAACGATAAGCAGCGTATCCAGTTAGCCATTTTGTATTGTATGAGCGCCGGTTTCAGTCTTGTCTGTTCGAAATGGTTGCAGTATTTACTAAGAACTCGTTGTAAGAGTTGACGGTCGAGTACCGTTCGACACAGAGAATACGACAGAGAGACGAACAACGTGAAAGAGAATATGACCAGAAAGTGTAAGACGAAATCGTCTTTAAAAATATCAGAAATATTTCCCGTATACTTCCTTCTTGCCTCTCCCGTGAGAAAGATGAAGAGTAGAATGTTAATATTGCTTGCTGTCAGTACACACTGCACGAAATATCCATAAATGTTAAGTAAAAACTTCGCTTTCTTGCCATTTGCACCCGTCTGCAAGCCGAAAATTTTGATTATTTGCAAATTTGTCTCTATTCTACACGAAAGACAATAGCAGTTGGTAGCGTGCTTAGAAGGATACATTTTTATTTCATTTAATTTAAATGTAATTAAAATTAATTATTCACTCAAATGACACCGAAAATCGGATTAATTTCCTGTACCCTTGCTTAAAAACATCACTTGGATTGGCAAGAGAAAACGTCTCGCTGTAAAATGGCTTTCGTAATCGGGATACGTAAGAACGTATTGATTATTATACTACGTTTATATAGAAATCTTAATTCTTACGTAAGATCGTCAGATCTTACGTAAGAATATAGATATTTTTTGGCATAGGTTTCTAAATTCTAATAATACAGTGAATTCAATAAAGATATGAATTAAATTTTTGAGTGTTTTTATGTATGTATAGTTTTAAACGTTTAATTTTTAAATGTTTCCCTGATATATATGAAACCAGGTATACTAACTATCGATATTCGTTATTGTTTCTGTGGCAACCTAAAATTTCCGTCTGTTTGTATAGCAAAGCATTGTTAATGGGAAAGAGAAAAATGGGTAAAGACAATCAGTGCCGTAACTAGGGCGACCCAGAGATGCCCGGTCACAGGGCGCAGAAATGACCCAGACCAAGTTTTGGATCATAGTTTTGGGGCGTAGTTACAGAAGCTCGCACCTGGCGCATAAAAGACTAGCTACTACGCCGAGGACAATATACATTCGGCATTTGAAAAGTGTAAAATAAGTGCTATAAGTGAAGCTGACGAGTCAATGAAATCTATAATTAGAAAACAGATGGTAAAAATTTAGCAATGGGATAGTTTGAAACATAGATTACGCTGCCAATTATCTCAAATACGTCAATAATAAGTCGAAGCCAAAGCCTGAAGACAATCGCAAGGCTGCCAGACTGATTCGGGGCAAAAGTCACACGACCCAAAAGAAACAGTGAATGAATATAAAGTGATCAGATGAAAATAAGTTCAGTTTACATGAGCCGGATAGTGTCAGTACTATTGGCATTCCATCCATACCTTTAATATTACCCAGAAATGGTTTTTCGCTATTGGTTTCCATTCTTGGATTGGCTCGTTACGTTACCTGATTTTAATCATACGGAAAATGCCCGGAGATTTCCAGTCGGGTTACTCTACGCAAATGGAAAGCAATACCATACCATTACAGACCATTGAAAAACAGGTGAAAATTCCTCGGTTTTCTGCAGAAGTTGATCGAGTTCAAGAAAGACAGAATGTTCAAAGTAATCGTAAAGAAAAGATTGTATTCTGGTTATTATATTTCATCGATAATCTCGAAAATATAATTTTCTGCCCATTATCTTAGTTATCTCACGATTATGGAATACTCCAAGAAACTCATTTCTTCATTGTTTATATTAAAATTGATGGTATAAAATACATAAAATTAAATTTCTCTATAATCCACTTCACCGTCTGATATAAATTTTAAAATTCCGAGTAATCTTATCTTAATTGAGCGCACTGTAAATTTTTACTTATATAAGCCACTCGAATGCATCACCACTGATGCTTAATTCCATAATTCATCTTTCTCCAGTACTGATTGAATGTGCCGTTAACGAATACGGGCAATTAGAAAATGAAATTGGTTTAAAATTATAAACGTTTCATCTAATTGATAATTCATAATTCTGCCATTTAATTATGAAACTAAACAGAGAACCTGACGGCCAGATGGTCGAGAAGATTAAGAGAAGAGCATAAATTTTAATTTTATTGATATTGGCAATTATAATTGATTGATTTGCTCGAGTGATTTTATTGGTGCTGTGTAAACACGAGAAGGAAGGTCGAGATTCCTTAAACTGTAAATCATTGAATTGAATCTTGTCACTTTTCCGGCCGTTATAGGAGAGACCGGGGCAACTTCGGCATGCGGGGCAAGTTTGTCAAGCGCTTTTTTTTTTTTTAAAAACAAATTAACAGGAGACTTTGGTTATAGGTTAGGCAGTTGAGTTTTATTGGTGGCTTGTTGAGTGTAGTGTTTTTATTGTTCTCCAACAAGCGTAGTTGAATTATCAAGCAAATTTTCATTTTCGTTCAATTCCATATAATATTTTTTTTCCATTTATATTGAATTGGCAGGTTTTGTTATAATTCCATGATAACGAAAGTTACTTTTCCTGTTAGAAGGATGTAACTTCAACTTATTCACGTGGCCAGATCGTGGCTTGGCATTCTGTTCTCAGGGTTGTACTTAATGTTTCGAAATCATGACTAGCGGGGTAAGATCGGCAACATAAAGCCACATTAGAAGCAAAGGATAAAAATCAAACAGATGATAAATGAAAACATGTTTGCATTTGTTATTCATGTATATATGTCTTTGAACTTGCATTTCGTTGTAATAATATTAAATGGGTGTTGGATTTGTATTTCTTTGTTTTAATAGTGAATTCCAACTTATACATTGTTAATAACATAATTTTATATACGTGCCTATCTTGCCCCATTACTGTTGCCCCTATACCAGGGGCAACTTTAATAAAAATAATTAAAATAATTACAACTTTACAAAAAGAGAGAAGTTGCCGATCTTGCCCCTATACCCGGGGCAACTTCGTCAATTTCTCTCTTCTTGTAAAGTTGTAATTATTTTAATTATTTTTATTTCCAAACTGATTTTAACCAGTTCTATAGTAAGGTAACATTCCAATAGACAATATGCAAAGCTTTTTTTTCAGTTTACAGCAGTATTTATTACACAAAATTTAAGTAAAGCTTAACATGTCGATCTTGCCCCGGTTTCCCCTATATAACAGTAAAAAAGTATGGTTATCGGTCAAAAAGATTCGGGGGGTAATTTCTGTATGTATGAATGTTAGCGTGTGTGGGGGGCACGATTTTGTTTACCCTGTTTGAAGCTTAATAAGTACTGTGCCTTTGGCCAAAATATTTGAAATTTGGCAAGACTTTTTGTGTATTAAGGGGATCGATGCTATTAAATTTTGGCTGTTAAAGGTGGAGGAGGTGTGGAGATAAAGGGGGTCGTGTCGTATCTCGAGTAGAGTCTGAGTTAATGACGATTTTACTAGTTACTAGCATGCACAATTTTTTTATTAAATCCGCCGGAACCTCAAAATTATTTTTTTGTTATTATATAATAATTTAAAATATAAAAGTTTTAAAAATAAAATATGATAAAGATTTTGATTTTAATTGCTAAGTGAAATTTTAACCTCTTTCATTCGAAATAACTAAATCTAAAATACACGACAGCCACGTGGTCTGTTCGAAAATCTATTGGAGAATCCCATCGTATCTTTATATCATATATAGTTAAAATACCATCAGTTCTATAATAAACCAGCAATTATTTATTGTGATGTCGTCACAATGCCGGGCTGCAGTTTTTAATTTATTTAATTTAAAATATGTGCTCTCCACCTCAAATTACAGTGGCTTGCCCCTGTACACTGCTTTCGGGGAAACTTTTAAATTAAAATAATATAACTTAATTACTTTTTTTTAATGATGTGAAACCATGCTTTAAAATTTGTTTCTGCTTCTAACACAATAAAGTGCTATAAATTAAGACCCTTGGCGGTTTTTCTCATCTTTATTCAGTTGAGACGTGTGAAAAAATTACACGTTTCGGGCTCATAAGCTCCTCCTTAGCCAACTAAAATATTGAAAAAGGTATACATTATAGCCTATATAGAAAAACTACATAAGTTTTGTAGAATTTACAAAATTATCTTGATCTAAAACATACCTTGAATGCATATTCATATTACATTGTCTATGCGTATCAAAGGAAGTAAGGATTTTACAAAACTGATTTATGAGTGGAAAGTATAATCAATTGTGTAAAACTTTAGTAATAGTTGTATCCAAGGTGTGTTTTACAGGGCCGTGCGGTAGTTTTTCTCAGTATGATGCACGTCTTCGAAATGCCGTTTCTGAAATGCCGCTTATGCCACCCCTCAAATGCTGCTTATGCAACCCCATTACGGTGCCGCCTGATGCGGCCGCATCTCTGCATCATAGCACAGCACGGCCATGATGTTTTAGATCAAGATAATTTTATAAATTCTACAAAACTTATGTATTGTTTCTATACGGGCTATAATGTATACCCTTTTAAATATTTTAGTTAGTTGAGGAGGGGCTTATGAGCCCGAAACGTGTAATTTTTTTACACGTCTCAACTAAATAAAGTTGAGAAAAACCGCCAAGTGTCTTAATTTATAGCACTTTATTGTGTTAGAAGCAGAAATATAATTTTTGTTTTGCATCAGAAGTTCTGTATAGCTAATCGGAAATTTTAGTTCCTGTGTGTCCAAATACGGTCTCGTTTTTCATCTGTATAACTCCGTTCTTGAGATTAAGGAACGACAGTACGGTGACACTCAGCGTATTTTATATTAATTCCTGTGATAAAAGACAAGTGACGACGCCATAATTAATGCATTAAAAGTTTACTCCTAGTTGGCAGTTTAATACAAAAGAAAGCTAAACTAACATTATAAAGGATCTTTTAATACTTTTGCCTTTAATAAACAGAATTATAGTTTCAAATGGTGTTAGAGTTCAAAATACCGCGTATTAACCTGTACATTCGGATATAGGAATGCACTCTTTCTCTTTGTTTTCGGCGTAACCCCACTTGCAACTACACCTGGCGTAATCGTCGGTTATGTATCCAAAGCGGGCTTCTCCGTCACCGACACAAACCACGAATTCGTAAAGAAAACTGATCTCGGTGTTTGGTTTACGACACACACCTAATTAAAATGGAAGTAATTAGAGACGAAATCTACCAGGAAACACTAAAAAGTGTATTAAAGGTGTACTTACGAAGGCTGCACTCTTTTTCTGTAATGCAAACATTCGTATCTTTGTCTCGAATATAAAAGTAATCACAAAAGCATCCCGGATGTTTCATTTCGCGTGTACAAGTAAAATTGAGAACGTCGTGGCAGTAAGATTTGCAACCACTTTTAAAAAATGCCTCATTTCTTCCGCAGCTTCTAAATATCTCTAGAAGACAAGTGCATAGTAATTAATAACACGTAAACATACGAAAGCAATGGCAAAAGTCCTCGGAATTCGCCATCTTCGTTGACGTAAATACGGACGTAAATACGGACGCAACCGTGTTTACGTGTCTCCGTCTCGATTTCTTTTATGCATAGAAGATAATTACGAAACTTACCTGCACCGTGCACCAAAAAGAACAGAGAGAATATTAAAATTCCGTAATTAGTTAGCATGCCGTCGGTTGTACTCGTGTATACAAGTAAAATGGTGTTTACATATAATTTTGATCTTCAAGATAATTTATTGCATTTAAAGATTTGGTAAAGTCCAAAGTTGATTATTAATTAATCTCCAGACACTTAGTAAACAAGGATGTACTTTTATAAATAAGATAAGAATATATTTACAGTTGTAATTTAAATGATTTATAGGCCTAATACGAATTTCCTGGCAGTGACGTGTTAAATGATCAGTTTGATGCCCGAGTGAGGGTGAATGGGGGTGGACGTTCGTTCGGAAAGAAGAATAATAATATGAAGTGAGGTTGTTGCAAACACTAACACGCCCAAAACACATTCCATATATCCTCGCCAATTTTGGTAAATTGTGGCACAAAAATAGTGTTCGATACCATAACGTAATCACCAAAAGTGTTTCGTTCTATCGGCCATAACGAACGACTTATCGAGGATTAATTTAATGAATTTATTTCTTCGGTAGACAACTTAAATAATTTAGCCAAGTTGAAAGGAGAAGATCGCCCCTTTTCCGATGACGATTATAACCAAATGTTCATCACTGGCAAAAAAGTCGCAAACTACTGGTACACAGAAAGGAGCCATCGTACCGAAAGCATACCGGATTCCTAATTGGAATTGGCAAACTATGAAAAACCAGGGGTGTTCGGAGGTGCCACACAAGAGAACACTGCGCCGTTGAAAGAATCAGATGCACACATTTCAAATGGGTATCGTAGAAAAATATATTCGAATTAATCGTCGTGTCATGATGTACTGTACGTTACTCATAGGTAAAATTAATGTAAGTGTAGAAATTGATAAACTGTAATAAATTTCATGAAAGACGAGAGAGTATTTATCCGTTTACATGTACAATAAATGATTAGTTCTTCGGAACAGTTGACTTTCACAAAATGGCGATACACACGAATAAATTATTTAATAATATTTATAACTATTTCAAGATAATATCATAAAAATTAAGCTATTTAATTGATGCTTTTTTTTTTTTNTGTTTACCTCTTCGTCGTTAGACTCCTGTGTAGATTTCGGTTTACGGCCACCCATAACAAAGGATGGTTAGGCCTAACCGCCGTCGGTGCACGTGGTCAGACAATAACACGGTACACACCAGTTAAGAGTGCTGTTCTGCGTACGATGGCTCGTCGGGCACTTATCAGCCTGTTTATGGACACAGAACGCCAAAAAGACGCAATAATGCACCTTAATTGATGCTTGGCTTTTATAATTTACAGTTTCTAAGTAATTTACTGTAAAACTTCATTTAGTATACAGAAACAAAGATATGTTATTAAAAATAAACAAAACAACACAATAAATTGAGTGTAACACAGAGTGTTTAAAAGGACCTCTAAATGAGAGAATATTACTTAAAGAAGGTTAATATATATTGTCAGAGGTCTCGCCCGTATCCACAAAAAAGTAATAATCGATATCAGAATATTTTCTGACATGCTCCAAGTGATAAAGTTTGCAGCTGTAATTGAACGTAATATATAAAAAAATAGAATGTTTATATAAAAGAAATCAATATTATAATTCCATTTATACATAAATTACGATAAAATATACTTTTATTTTCATCAAATACTGAAAATTAAACATGGCGATGGTCGCACAGAGTACAGTACAGTCGACCCCCCTATAAATCTGTTGATTATTCCGTTTTATATGAATTCCATGTTGTACGAGTCACTTAGATTTTACAAATACGTGTGCCAGGCTGTGATGGCTCACGTATTTGTAAAATCTAAGTGACTCATACAACATGGAATTCATATAAAACGGAAAAATCAACAGTGTTATAGGGGGTCGACTGTTGTCACAAACCTTAAACATATAAAATATTGCTATAGGAAAGTATTATTTATAATAAAACTAAACATTTACATGTACTATAGTACCTAAACAATTAGTTTGTTATCCTGCTCGAAACAAATTTAATTCTATTACTTGTAAGACTTCTTTAATACATCTCCTACAATAACAATACAAAGACACACTAGTACTTTGGACTTTATTGTAAGGCAGCATTTGCAGCACTCTAAGAACAATTTAAAATTAATTTCGTTATGTCAATATTTAAAAAAATGTGTCAAAGGGGAGTGACGATGATGACGACAGGGAGCTCTTAAAAGGCTTTAAACTTGTAAAAAAATTTATTAAATTACTTTTTTATCATACAATAATGCAATATAGGTACAAATATGATAAATTGTTATTTAGTTAGTTATTATATTAAATTACTTCAATATGTTACAACTTCTACATAGTGAAATAAGAAAATAACACATAAAAGAAACACATCTTTACTCCAGGGAGTGTAAGAACAAAGTACTGTGACTTTATTTTATTTAAAGAAAAAATTTAGCTTGAAAATTATTAAAATAAAATCTAAAATATGAAGAAAAATGCGAGGTTTTAACGTTTGTTTACGTTATAACTAGAAGATTTGACTTTTAAAGGGGTGGAGCAATTGGCGGGGAAGTTTTGTCTAGACTGGTCGGAAATAATGCCGATTCGTTGATCCAACTGTCGCGTTATAAAAAACACCAATAAGAGTGTGGGAGGCATTTCGAGGAGAACTGTAAATACCAATTAACGGCAAGAAAGCGTCTGGTAGACTTACTATACAGGAGGAAGGAAGCTGGCGGGTATACGTATTGTTTAAAAGAGGGAAGACGGACTTCACTCGTTACAGTAGAAGAAGCCTGCAGAGACAACGGCAATTCGACTGAATTTAATCCATTAATATACGTTTTACCACTCGATAGTTACTTCCTTTAATGACATACCTTAATCGCAACGAAATTACATAGAAAAATCTCCCAAAAATCATTTATTAAATTCTTGGTATAGAAAATTTTATAACGAATATTCTGGAACTAATTAAACAACAATTACCAATCCATAAATTGCCTTTCTTACAAAGGTTTATATGATATTTAGTATATAAATGCCCTAACTATAGAAATAGCAAGAATAAACCAAGTTTCTATAAGAACTAACTGTACTGCATATTAAAACATTATATAATATTAATTATATCTGTTAATTAAGAGTTTTTACTTACACTAAGTATTTCTTCCACTATTCCAAGCTGCAAAGGGGGTAAAGTAATAGGCGACAGTACGGTATTTATAGGTTTGAGAACATCAGCAATCCTATTATTATCCAAAACACAATTTCTGGGTTGTTTAGGAATTAAACCTTATAAATAAATATAAATGCCGTGAGATAAATTCATTGTCAAAAAAAATATTCAGAAGAGACGAATTTCACTAATCTATAATAAAAAATGAATAAATAAGTACTTAAGATGAAAAACGGCAGCAAGAACTTCTTCACGATTCTACTTGCAACTGGACAGAGAATGAGTAATTTGCAACTTCAATTAACAATGACGGAAGTAAAATTTGACGTCACATTGATGTATACAGCGCGATATTTGCATCTGTTCCAGTTAATTACACACAAGTTTTTCCTCAAAACATTTTTAAAGCTAAAAAATAAAATTATAAATTCTTTCTTTATTATTTCATTTAAAATTTACTCCTCCACCTCATATTACTAATGGCTTGCCTCTGTATATCACACTTCTCCTGTAGCAATAGTTGTGTTGTCTTTATCTATTTCCTTACAGGAGAAAATGTTTCAATTGAAATAACGTCACTCTCGATTTCTATGGGACGTTCCTGTGTATTTAATCAGTTCCTACGTCCCGACTCCTTCCACGTCTAGGCTAAAGAGGATTTTAAGACGAAAAAGAAGACATTCGTTTTATCCTCTTTGGTTTTAGATTATCTAAACGAATTTTTCACGGAAAAAGCATAAAGAAAAATAGACTTTAATAAGCGAAATATAATTTTCGAATAAATACGCTTAGTTATATAATTTATTCGAATTACGTATTTGTAATATCTGCATTTACAATAAGCTACACGTCAGCGCAATAGCAGTTGACATTTGACAGTGGTGAAAAGCAAATAACAAATGCAGTTTTTCAAGTGATTAATGACAATTTTCCATAAATATTACATAATATAATATTAAAATATTTTCAAAATTATTTAATTTATAGGAATAATTCTCATTTAACTTAAATAAGTATTTAAAATTATACGAAATCTGGTACGGATTTAGTGAATGCAGTAATACTTTACATGCATTCACTTACTTACTCATTACTTTTTAATTTCGAGGAGTCGAATGGTTAATTAAATTAATTATTAAAAACTTTAAAATATAAAATATCTACGAAAAATCATCTTTTAGCTAACTTCGAAAAACTGTTTGTTATTTGCAGTTGACAAGTGTTATTCTATTGTTGCCTGGACAAGTAAGCCGCTTATGAATAAAGCTTATACATTACAATTGATGCTTATGCTAATTGCAGACTGAAGCAGAAATTACGAATAATTAACGGCTTAAATGTTGTGTTTAATTTCATTTATTCAGCTGCAATTTAAAAAACTTATAGACTTACACTGATAAGAGTGGTAATTTATATCTTCTTTAATTAATCTGGACAAAAGTTGATGGACCGAAGTATGTCCCACGAACGTGGGTTTTCTGCTTTTTTTTCCGGCTCACCTTCAATTCGGGGGGGTCAGTCTTTCTTATAGGAAGAGATACAAAAGCTGCGTCACACGGGCAGTTGTCTCCCCAACGGGTGAGATAAGATCTCTCCACGGAAAATAGTTAAACTAGACAGAAGTTTATATTTCGCTTTATCGTCAGTTTCTCACGAAGGTGTAGAGTGCTTTGTTTCGGGTTTCACGCGTAAAACATATTAAGTGCATTAATTATTAAATAAGTCTAGAGACATTTTCTAAACTTTAAACAAAGGCTCTCGTTTTGACTTCAGCTTCCGATACAAGTGCCCGTCACTCGAAGCGCAAAGATGATGTCATTGAGATAATAAAATAACATTTTAAAAATACAGAATAAATGTTTAATATATTGCAAGTATAATTTATTACGGAAAATCTAGGTCAAAGCAACCACCCACATTGGTT